GGTTAGACTTTTTTCAATTAGGTAAATCGATGTGCTTATCATGATTTTTCCATTTTTTAAAAATAATTTTTAAAAAAATAAGAGTGTACAGCATAAAAATGGGGCTGTAGGATTTTACATGTTACAACAAAAGAAATTTTTAAAAAAATTAAAGAAGATGTAGCTTATAGAATTAAAGCAAAAACATGATTGGTAACAAAGGATGTAGGTTTGAAACTTAAAGAATTAAAACTACAACATGATTGGTAACACAATGATGCTTTAAAAAAAATTAAGGCTCTAGACAAGACTTAAAGCCAAACCAATCATGCACTTAGTTCCAATAATTCAAATGTTTTCAAAAGGTACTCATACAGCATATGCTTTTAAAAACTATTCATATTTTTCAAATTACATGACAAATATGTTTCATTTAACTATTAAAATTAATTACTTTACAACTTCTTTTTCTTACTAGTATGCTAGTAATTAACTCATCATCTAATTTTATCAGTTGTTCTCCATGAAAATTCAGTTATTACGTCAAAAAGTTAATTATCCAGCAAATAAATTTAGTTCCTTGGTAGGTTGGTAATTAAGTGATTTGCCAGATTTCAATCATTCCATCATAAATTACCATCATTTATCTGTAAAATCTACTAATGTCTGGTTGTTCCCCTTTGAGATCTATTCTTCTGTCATACTTCGCATTAATCATGGATTTAGCAATTACTGTAATTAATAGGATGATTAACCGTCAGTCATTAGAAAACTGATTTGACTTAGATTTTGGTCATATATATATATGAATCAATATATTTCATGAACTGCTTAAATTACTAATTGATTTAATCAGCCCGCTTACGAAATTAGGAGTAATTATCAATTTAAGAATATGTATATTAGTTTTAATGTTGTGGTAAAGAAAATGTATGAAATTCAAGAATCTTTTAATTTCGTTCAGAAGAACAGGAATGTTGCCATTTTAACCAAATGATACCTTTTCAGCTTCTGCCTAACATCTTCTTGACGTTGCCCCAAAACGAAGCAACGAATTGAAGATTAGTGGTAAATCAATCCTTTTTAGAACCTAAAATTCGATAAACTAATTATACATAAAAAAGTAAATAAAAAGTTTGAGTTTTATTCAAATGCTCGTACTAATAACATAAAAGTTCTAAAATTCGCCATCTTAATGGAACTTTTTTATGTATCATTAGAATATGATGATAATTTAAACCGTTTATAAATTTAATGAAACTTTTTATTTTGCGGTAATGAAAAGTATACATATAGAAATATTTTTTCGTACTAATAATTCATGGAAAGAGTAAGTATTTATTAATTATAGGTCATTGAAGCTTG